AGTTAAACTGCCTGTTGATGTTGGAAGACACGGCTGATTATGGATTAATGTAAACATGAGAACACGGTCATTCAGGCGGTCACACACATAGAGATTTCCATTATTATCAAATGCTAAATCGACTGGCTGATCGAATCGATTAGGTTTATCACCAAGACCTTAAAATAAAAATTCAAATAATTTTCTTTTCTCTATAACCATGAATCAATTTGAAAGTCTATTTGGTATCTACGTCCATACCTGATCCGCCAGCAATAGTATCGCCCATAGATGCATTATATAACCAACGTTGAATTCGTTCATTGGATGAATCAGCCACATAAACAACATGGGTTTCTTCATCGACCCATACAGCAGTCGGTCTTGACAACGATTCAGCATTACTGCCTTCATTTCCATTGCTGAGTCCAGCTTCAGTAGTTCCATTAGACGCATTTACTAACCATTTTTGAATTCTATTATTGACATAATCAGCCACGTACACTGCACCATTGGTGCTATCAACATAAATACCTTCAGGAGAATTGAGATTGTCGCTTGTCGATCCTGAGTAGTATTCACGGCCAGCGACAACCGTCGTGATATTTGTTTGAGGTGACCATTTAAACACACAATGTTTACCTGCCGATGACAGGTAGACATTTTTCTCTGTGTCAACCCATACACCTGTACAGTAGAAACATTCACCTCCTACTTGTACTCCCTGTGCGCCCTGTGATGTCCCTTGAACCCATTTTTTGACACGATGCTCACTTTCAATGGCAAGGTAAATTGTCGGTCCATTGTTGTCGTCATCAACATAGATCTTCATAGCAAACGTAATATTGGATATCACGGTGGTACCCATGGTCGATAATTTATCGAGTGAGAACACTTGAATTCGTTCATTTCCCGTGTCAGCCACATACAATGTGTTCGTTTGTTTGTGAATAAAAATTCCTTCGGGTTGGTTGAGTTGTTCGGGCTTATTACCCCTTCCACCAGTACCAGCCACGATAATACCCATCGTGTTCCATCTTGCACAAGGGCTCACCTTTATCGACTTTGTCGACGGCAGCCAACATAAGAAGACAACTTGAACATAAGAAAATATTACTAATACTCATTTACTCTGCTCATTGTTGAACTTACGAATGTAGATAACCGGAATCTGCATCAATGAAGACGAGCAATATGGCCGACAAGAAAGAGAGTGTTTCACAATACTCACAACACAATAAAAGAAGTTTGAAGCTGCGCGTGATTCAAAGAGATAAGATATATCTATGCGCATATGTTAGATGCAAAACAGACATCTCATACACCTGTGTTCTAGCGGGTGACATAAAAGTAACATGTGCTTAACTATTTCTACTGGGTGTGGGTGTGGGTGTGAGTATGTATCTTCTAGGCATCTACACCCACACCCTCCTCTTTCCATGTATCTGTCTTACTCCAATTTAGCACGTAACTCAAAACACAAGAAAATGGCTCTAGTTACGTGAAAAGTTGATGGACAAAAACCAAAAAACAATAATAGGGAAAGTTCACTTCAAAATCGTTACGGAAGATACAGTAACAATGGAAATTATTCTCCTTGTTTTCATAGGATATACATTTTCTAAACGTTGACCATTCTTTTGAATAAGATAAGCTGTTGTTGTTGTTGTTGTTGACTCATGCATTGTCTTATCATGAAAAAATGAAACCGAAAGAAAAACACCATCCATTCCTGCAACGTGTTTATTTGTTTAGATATTCAGTGAAAGAGTCACATCATGTTTGAGATCGAGCTTGATGAAGGAACGCATTCGCTTCGAGTTAAAGATGCCGAAAGGATAATTGCTGAGGGATCTTTCGGCGTCGATCGTCCCGATCGAACGGTGCTGGTCCTTTTTAACAAAACAACAATCGTGCCAAACGACTATGATCAACTCGATAAACTTCTTTCGACGATTGATTTTCACCTAGGTAAGTCGAATAATTCCCGAGTGTTTACATGCTTTCCTATGTTTGACGGTCAAATCGACATTGATCAACTTCAAATCAAACATTCAAGTAAATGTTTAATGGTTACTAATATGACTCATGTGAAATATTATGACTTCGTGCAATTTGATCGAGAACAATATGAATTATTGACGAATAAGCAAATGATTCTGACTTATTCTGAGAAGATAGCCAATATGATGTGTGAAAATGCCTTCTGGGCAAAGAAATGGAATGATCAGAAAATTCAAGATAAAGTCAAATCAGCTTCTGGTGTTGTCATGGTTCTTGACAAAAAAAACAATAACCCATGTGGCTTTGGACGAATGTTTATCGTGTCGACAACAGAAGAATATGAAACAAAATTTGCTTATTTGACGGATATCGCCGTAGCAAGTGAATATCAGAACAAGGGCCTTGGTTTTGCCTTAACAAACATTCTTCTAGGAATGTTTATCGATGGAAATTCAAAACAATGTGCTCATGGATCAATCTGTTTGTTTTGTTCTGATGAAGGTGTTGGAGCTATAGCTGCACCGAAACTCTATAGAAAGTCCGGTTTTGAGCTTTTTGACAAGACTGATAATCGTATGGCATTGATCCATACCGATCAATTTCATGGACAAGCTTCCTCTTAATCGCCCTGAATACGTCAGCATAGTGGATTTTTTTTCTAAATAAAAATAAATTAAGTTGTCAATAGATTGGATTTGCGAAGCCAAAGTTGAAATCTAATGAGTATTTTCAGTATTCAAATTGTTATAATCCACTCAAGGATATAAGATTCAACTAAAAGAAAGATGAAAACAGTCCACTAGTGATCAAGAAACAAAGAATACAAGATTTTAATGGGGTGTGAGTGTGGATGTGCGTCTTCTCTTCATCCACACCTACAACGGCAACCACAAACACTCACACCTACACTCACACTCTCGCGTGAAAAGTGCAGATGCTCGTGACCCAATAGACAATCCAGCCCAAAAATTAAAACAAACAACATCTAGATAAAAGCGAACTATTTCGCAGTGATTATTTGACCGCGTTTTCGACAGGAACACGTATCCAGTGCTAAGGCAAATGAATATAAACTTAAGAATGATGAAGAAAATGCCTAGAAAACAACTGAAACGAGATTGCTCGTTGTTTTCTACATTGAACGGATTCCGACTATACGACAGCCACTGTCGCACAAGATGTTTGGAACCTAAAAAAAGCACGAAGATAGAAAAACTAGCTAAATCATTGGAAATTTTCAAGAAAGCATCGGATTTGCTACATGTTTCTCTTCCAATGTAAAAGTCAAGTAAAAGACGAACAACATCAATCATTTGACGACATAAAGAGAGCATAGCCGAGAAATATTTAGAATACAATGATCGGATTTTTTATGCGGCTAAACAGTTGATCTTTGAAGTTCTTCGATTGGTCATTATTTTCTAGCGTTCTAGACATGGCGCCGGTGCGTCAACAAAATCTTTTGAAAGAAAAAGAGTCGATTTTGTGCAGAGACACACTGTTGCCTCATTCAGTGAAAAAAACGCGTCTCATGAAAAAGAAAATGCCGAAGAAACAATGCGATGCTTCATCTGAAAATTCTCTCATAAAGACTTCACGACGCCGCCTTGTTCGTCGCACGTGCACTCAAGGGAAGTATCTTATCAGCATCGAAGAAAGATAAAAGAAGTAACGTAGCACCTCAGACGAACCGTCGCTTAACATTCGAAATAAAACATGAAAGCCTCTCTTGGAGTATTGATCGGGCTGACGGTTTTAGAATGAACTACTCGGTAGATTCGTAACTCAAAGTAAAAATAATGTAACACTTGACAGTGTGGGTGTGGGTGCGCGTTAAGCTGAGAGTAATAGCGACATCGACACCCACCCACACCCACACCCACACACACAGACCACTCTCTCTATATCTATCTTTCTCTCAGTCTCGCTCTGTTTTCCTGTATCTCTCTTCCTCTGTCTCTCTCTCCACCTATCTTTCTATCTTCCTATCTTCACACCTCTACCTCCTTCACTGTCATGGTCCCTATCTCTCCCTCCCTCTCTCTCTCTCGGTCTTCCCTCTCTTTTTCGTTCTTTATTTATCGTTTTCTACCCATTAGAATTCCCTTTTCTATTGCTTAGCTTCACCGAAAACGTGACCCATATCATCACACTACCACTTTCATCTTTTTTCTCCCTTCACAAAGATTATCGCAATGGCATATCCTTCATACATAGAAAATTCAACGCCTGGCCCGATTTACTACAACAACATGCACTGAATCACCCTATTCGCTATGATCTATACTCACTTTTGGTGCCTTCCATATAAGGTACATCGTTATAATAGCCATTCTAAGCGAAAGAGCGAATAAGGGTCACCTTTTACATCGATATAGCTTTTTCCATTCCAATGGTTTTGCGCGCAACAAATTGTCATACAGGAACTAGCATCGATTTACTAGGTCATACTCGACTCCACCTATACTGAAAAAATGGCGAGAGCTTAATGTAAAACTGCCTACTGTATGGGATTTCCATAGGATTTTCACAATAAGCTCCTTGAAAAATTTCCAGGGCAGTATATTTTCCTACATGTATTCACATGATTTTCTAGCTCTCAGTGAGTTCTATCTGCACTAAAAAAATGGCACCGGTTCTGCGGATAATAATGAACATAATGCAGACTGACCTATCCAACCCTATATATTGTTTACAAAGTATGGACAATGTGATCTTTGGAGAAATCTGAGGGCAGCATATTTTCCTACACTTATTAATATGATTTTGTTGCTCTCACTAAGCTCTGTCTACGCTGAAATAATGATAATTTTTAGTAAGAATAAAGTGACGATCGGTGATACTACATGATGCTAATCTTAGCATAAATCTACTGTGATGGGACTAATAACCTATTCTATTGAATATAATATAAAGTGTTCAGGAAAATCGTCTATATGCATTAAGGATGGTTTAGTAGTAAAAGAGAAGCATAAATTTGAAAGCAGAAGTAGTTTTCAGTGTGATTTTCATTTAGGACCGGTTTGTGGATTTTGAAAATTCAAGGAGGTTAGATCTTACGATCTGTCTCTCCTTGAAGGGATCATATTTCCATCAGACCACTTAAGGATGGTCCTCTCTCGGTCATTGGTCGAGAATGGCATATTCTCTACAAATAAATAAGCGAGAAATATTTGTAGCAGACAGAAAGAAAGAAATATATATACGCCACATTCTAGGCTCGACACATTTTCTTCATTGAGTTTGCGACACTATAGTTCACGACACATTTATTTTTAGTGTGTGATTGGGATACATTGTGAGTGAAATTGGACTATTAGCTAATGAAGCAAACATAAATGTAAGAGCGACGAGCTTGCGAAGTTGTAATTCAAGCAAGATATTTTGCCAAATGTGAAATAACGTTATACAATTCATGAAACTTTGAGACGTGCTTCCTCTGAAAATAAGAAATACCTTCAGAAGGTGTCGCACACAACGTACAAAGATAAATCACTATTGTGATGTGTATCTTCTTTGAAAAGATGCGTTTCTCTATCGACTTTTTTTGCGTTACTTTCAGGTTTCTTTTCTCATTTGTGTTTGTAGGATTTTTGATTAAGAGTGATCTTATTAAAAATTTGCTAAATTTCAGGAAAAGGAAACGAATTGTGGTCGATCGTAACACAATTAGACAATTAGTTAGGAAAAAAGATAGGATGTAGGAGTCAGCTAGTCACAAGTGGCACCGACAAGAAACTTGCCGTTTATAGACAACGTTGACATGAGCCCTTCTTGCATGATGCGTTTAACTAATGTAGAATATTTTTCGAAACAATTGCACCTTTTTTAGTCCACGTGGCTGAAATCAACACCTAATCAATACTTCATAAAACTCCAAAAAACATCATTTATGATGAGAAAATCGCGAGCGCGCTATATTTTTAAATTTGAAACTGACAATTTTACTATTGGAAAACGTAAAAAGTGGGAGGATTGGTCAGCAGGAGTTCTCTGTAGAATCAGACATATCGCCAGTTTATCTGGCAACGGTTCTTGAAATGAGTAGAATGAATTCAGTCGAGGGTCAAGCAAGTTGCAACGACGAGCGTTACTTCTAAGTTAATGGTTTTAAATAAAAACAAAAACATTATGTTGATATGAAAGTCAATAGATGAAATATTTTAAGAAAGAATTCTACGTTTCGACATTATTTAACGTTTTTAAATATTGATAATATTGTAGAAGAACTTGATCACAAAAACTTGGATTTATCCAATTCATAAGAAGTTGATCTCCAAATGTGCCATTCAAATAACGAATTTTGTTTGGTAGAGTAGCTGTAAGAACAAAGCCCATTCTTTCATACAATCTAATTCCTTTAACATTTAAATCATAGGGTAATAATTCCATTACACGAATGTGACGTAATGATTTTTGAAGTTCATCTAGATATGCTTCTAATAATTGAGTACCGAAACCTTGTCCAACTGCAGTAGGATCCATCATCATTGTGGCATTGGTGAGAACATGTGCTTTACGACGAAATTCTGATGTATAGGCTTTTACAAAACCAATTAATTTTCCGTCATTAAACATTAAAAGAACTAGACCATGTAGTTGAGCATTTTTAATTTCAGCCTGAATATAAGAAAAGTTAACCTCATCGATTTGCTGAGCAAGATTATCTGGATAAATAGAAGATACTTTCTTGTACAATTCAAAAATATTCGATGCATCTTCCAATGTACCCTTTCGAATGACTGACATATTTCCACTGTATAAATGTTTTGATGACGATTATGTTGATTTGTATGGATTCAATTTTTCATCTAAACTTAATGCATTGATGAAATGTGATTCTTCTAATCGCATACATATACGCACACAAAAAAAAAACAAGAAAGTAATGAAGCAAAATCTAAATATCAGAAGTGCGGAAGATAACCTTCTGAAGCGACGAAAGAAAAGACCGTATAAGAAAAGATTTATGGGAAAATCGAGCACCTGTAAAATGACTTATTGTAAGGAACATGATTTGGAAATTTTGATAGAACAGACTTAAATAAATTGATTATTATGAAAGAAGAAATATTTACCTCGAAATTTTTTACGAGGTAAAGAAAAAATCTATATATTGTTCAAATATCTTATGTTTATATTCTGGATAATAATTTGAATAATATTTAAAATACTCTCATGAATCAAAACGAAATTGGACGAAAAAAATCAAAAAGAAGTTGCGAAAATATGCCGATTTTTTTGTACTTGTCGATTGAGGATCTCTTTATTGTGCTCAAACTATTTTCACAACAGATACATACAAGATATTTGAACAATATATAGGAAGATAGAGAATTTGAAGCGCTATCAGAATATATGACTGCTTTTTTTAAAAAAGGAACGCTATAGTAACGAAAAACTTTAAAAACTAATTTTGAGTGCACTAAGAAAACCAAGTCTGTGGAAATCTGCATATGCAGGTGCCTTTATTGTATCCAATTTATTTTGGTAATGAATAGACCTAAACTATAACTTAATTATATAAGATAATAGAAAAGTCCATGGGCTTTTAAAATATATAATTACTTTCTAAAAAATATAGTACTAAAGTGAAAATATATTGGGGATACAGAATAACACTATTTTTTCCCAGGAGTATATATCGGCCTGGCATTTTCAATAACATACATTCGACATGTTTACCTTAACAAAAATCCTGATCGAACATGTTAAATATCATGATTTTATAATGAGTTAAATGAGATCTTTTACATGATTTTGTAAGTCAGGTTGAAACCAATTCTGAAATATGTCTACAGTTTCTGTCAAATATTGGATGCGATAGAATGCTGGAGAAGTATAAAAATATAATTTTTTAATTTACTTTCGTAAGCCCACAACCGTGACGGTCCTAAAGAGACAATTGAATATCATAAAGGATCACATAGGAATATATGAAGAAGGAATAGGCAAAAAATCATAAAATTGAACTGAAATAATATTAAAAAGAGAAGAAAAAAAGAAATCGTATAACTAAAAAAGATGCAATCATAGAACACGTGGCACGTGAAGAATACAATATATCATGCGAGCAAGATAAGCAACATGAGTAAGCCGCAAGCATGTCTAAGCAAAGATATTAAAGAATGAATGAAACAAGAGAGGATTCGCAGTGCCACTTTAAATCCATACTTTTCTTATTATCTATCCTTTTCGACTTTTTTTCCTCCCTTCTGTCTAATCTTACTCATTTACCGCACTGTAAAAAAAAACGTCGAGTAATAAATCCTCGTATTTTCAAATTATTCCTATAGACCCTTCAAGGGTTGATGATGTCTCCATAAACGCTCGAAAGGTTTATGGATGAAACGGTATATGCGCCTCAGAGTACAAGAAACCGAAATTCATAGATGGAATTGTTGAAGAGTAGATTATTCTCTGTTTTCGCTGACAAGAGTTTTGTATTCTCCGTTTACGTGTAGTGTATTGTACCCTTCCATGAATAGGATTTTCTATTCTGCGATGACCTCAGCGCGGTTTATTATTGTACGATGAAGGATAGATTGTTCCATGCTAACGTCAAAAAGATTTATCGTTATATGGTAATAAGAAACAGTTTTTATTCTTTGAGCAAAGGTATAATATGCTACTTCTGAACTAAAAGATTTGTATGGTCAACCAGTAAAGGGTATAGTATCCTTCGATACATTGAGAAGGTTTAACATCCAACAATTACAAGGCCCGTTATACTGTGTTGGAAATTAAAGGGCTTAGTATTCTTCGATATAGAGTTTATTGTTCCTCGGTTTTCATACAAAGATTTAGTATTGTCCGATAATGGGTTCATCGTACCACAGCTGTCATAGAAGGTTCAGTGTTCTCCGATGTTGAGCTTATTGTTCCTCGACTGTCACCTAACGGTTTACTGTTCTCCGACGGAAGGTTCATTGTTCTTCGGCAGTCGCAGGAGGATTTAGTATTCTCTGATAATGGGTTTATTGTTCCAGAACAGCCATAGAAGGATTTAATATTCTGCAACGTATGAATTTAGTTGCTCAAAAGGACGGGTTTATTATACTTAGTTTAACAGAGACGGATTCAAATTTCTTTTCGAAGCTCAACGAAAATCATCAAAGAAACATCATCGATCGTGGTCAATTCTTAGAATTTTAAGGTGAATGTTAAGAAACATGTACAAAGAATAGCAAAAGTAGCATACGAGAAGTCGGCATCGCTCATACTAACTGATGATGAAAGTACTGGTGGAATTAGAGAAAATGAATCTTCGCCGAACAATCCAGAACCAGCTTCGACTTTTCGACAAAACAAACGAAAAGATCGTGCTTATGACTTCCACTTTTTTATACCCTGAATAGGAAATATTTTTAAGTGCGAGCGTTGATTACTCGACGGTTTTTTACAGTGCAGTAGAGTGGCTTAGTGTCAGCATTTGTACCAATCGCATCTCGATGATCATCTCAAAGAACTTGAGCATTTCTTCATCAGTGGTTGGTTGGTTGGTTTTCACTGACCAAATTTTTGACCATCTGCTGATCTCATAGGTTTGCAAGTAGTGCTTCGCTGCGTGTCGATTAATTTCACGAACGAATATCTTCTGAACGGTTAGTGAGCACATAGTTTGAAAACTAGATCAGTTTTGGTACTCTAAATACATACGTTGAAAGTAGGTCAACTTTGGTACATCGGGCACATTTTAAATTCGAAAAAAAGCACTAGAAAAAGCAATGTCTGAGCCAACACATGAATGGAGGAACGAAAGACTAGCAAGCGAGATCCAGCAGGTCTTGTAGCGCTGCGGTTGAGATTACCGCTAAATGCGTGATACATTTTGAATCTCACACACCCGCAAGGGCGTTATGCGGGTACCGCAGAAAGCGAGACACATATTTGAGTCGTAGACCAGAACGACGATGAGGATGTTTAATGAGTGTAAATACATTGCTCAGTTATGTGAGTGTAGTTCTTCTATCATCTCACACCCACACCCTTAAAATGTGAAACACGACTGAGCTGCTTACATTGTACATAAGAAAATATCATGGTGACTTTTATGGTCTGTGGTGCTTAATTAATTAATTAATTAGATACTAAATAGCCAATTAAGGTGTTGGCCCTGGTCTGTGCAGGGGATGGGTTCAAATTTCTACTCTTATATACTTTAACACTCCTTTTAGATCGTGTTTCACACAAAAGATCTTTGTTGAAGTTTTGATCATATTGATAAAATGAAAATTATGATTCTGACATCTATCCGTCGATATTACCGTAAAGCAAATTGACTTGCAATAAATGCAACAACTCTTAATATACAAAACAATGAAGACATGTTTAATTCGTTTTTTTAGACTGTATTCAAATGTTTTAATGTTGTGATGATAGATGATTATGCTAGAAATTATAAAAACATAGAGCTAAATATGTTATTATAGAGTAAGCTATCGTATTAACTTCGCAAAGTTTTTGTTAAAAATATCAATGTGTTAGAATTATTTGAATAAAATCCTTATGAATTCGATACGATCAAATTTCGATGATAGGAAAAAGATAAAATTTTGATTATACGACAAATTTTCACAATCGGAAAATAAGTAGCTTCCAGACAAGGATTTTAACTATGAACAAGACAATGCCACATCACATATATATTTCGTACAATTCATTAATTGATGAAATACGAAACATTGCGAATTGTAGAGTTTCTAACATCACATATTGTACCATATTTTATTTTTTTAAATATAATGTATTGTATAATTAATCTCGCGTATATTTTTAATGTGTCATAAATTGATATAAAAATGTGCTATACGTAAATGATAATGCATTGATAAAGAAAGATATAAAATTTAAAAAGTGTGCTAGATGTAGATGTTCGTCATTTCTCTGACGATAATAACAAAGTGATATAGCTACTAAAATGATGTTACGATATTTATTATGTCTATTCACGTAAGTATCAAAAATTAAGTTGTATTAAATAGATGACTCTCATTATTTTGAAATCAAACAAACTTTATACTATTATTTTTTCAATTTTAGTTTAATTGCTTCAAATAATGGTACGTACATAATGATATATAAAAATTAAAAAAATTAGTGAATTTCTCTTTAATTTTGTCTGTTATTGTTTTAGGTCAACGTATTTATAAGGAATCAAGTGAATGTAAGTATAAGCTAAATTGATATATTATTGTGTTATGAAATATTTTAAAAATCCAAGAGAATAAAAATATTTTTAATTCATCATTATTCGTATTTAAACACTGCAATTTTCGATTTGATTAATAGATCTGTACTCATACTGCACAAAATATAATACTAGTCTTGACAATTTTGTTTAAAATCAGTGTAAAAAAAATCTAAAAGTTGAAATTTGTTTCATATCTAAAAGGGAAGATAAAACCTGGAATAATTTTTTAAATATTAGGTCCAGGCAATCTTAAATGGAGTACAACAGGAAAAACAGTTATGGGTGGTTATGCTTCAGGCTTATTAAGTTTACCTACAGGTTTATTTATTGAACCTAAAACACAAATTTTATATGTTTCTGATAATACTAATAATCGAATTCAAAAACTTTATCCAAATGGTGAAGTAACAACTGCAGCTGGTCAAGCAAATGGTACAGGTGGATCAACATCAGATACATTATGGAATCCAGTAGATGCTTTTGCAGACGAAAATGAAAATGTTTTTGTTGCTGATTGGAATAATCAAAGAATTCAACTTTGGAAAAAAAATGCTAAAAGTGGTAAAACAGTAGCAGGAAATGGTACTCGTGGTTCTGCATTAAATCAATTTAGTTATCCAAGTAGAGTTTTACTTGATTCAAACAAAAATATTATTGTTGCTGATACACAAAACGAACGTATAACAAAATGGCCATCTAAATTTGATCCAAAAACATCTGTCGGCACAGTTATGGCAGTAAGTTATTCATTTCATTTTTATAGCACGACAAAAAAAAGGATACCGCCGGATAAGATCGTAAATCTGCCACCCCCCTAGTTC